AATATTTTACTTAACTAGGTGTTATCTTGTAGAAGTCAATATAAAAAAATAAAAGAAGTAAAACAGATCATATCAATTACCTGCAGTTCCGTAGGAATATCGTCTACTTGTTCTTTAGTGGACGTCTATCTAATAAAAGGTAGCTATATATCTAATTAAAATATTAAAATAAAAATAAAATAAATTTTTCTAGCAAAGTAATAAGTTGGTACAGGCCCCAATAAAAAAGTTGGATATAGATGAGTGAGAAAATTGTTGCTGTGCAGAGTATTTGCTAAGCAGATTTTGTTTATCTATGCAAAAGCACCAAAATTGGAACAATATAACCACACATATCAAAATTATCGCCGTGTGGTCCCGGCATAGAATGGGCCATCCCTTCCTTTTCAGTAAGTAATGTAAAAAGCATTTAAAGGAACTTAATGTTTGAGGAATGGAACAAAATCCCTCTTAAAACATCACCAGAGCCTAACTGCGGTTACCAATCTGCCTGCCAAGCGTAGCAGCTATTACCAAGCCCCCTTATTAAGGAGGCCCATGTTTAGCGGTGGACAATTAACAGCTGTGATGTGATGATGATGAAATTAATATTAAAAATTTTAATTCATTTATTCCAAACCTATAATTTAATATGTAAAATAAAAGAGAGAATGAGAGATTGCGTTTAGCCTTCTGCAGCATTAATTTAAGTCTGTCATTGTCGCTACCTATGTAATCAAAAAACGTTGAATAATATAATATACCTGTACTTTTAATGGGGTGATAATGAAATGGTAATGCCACCTGTGCTATCGGTTTTTGCTGGCAGGGTACCAGTGAGGGATAATAGGTGAGGATAAAAACAAGTCAGTCAAGGCCATCGTGATGAATTCTACTAGAATTAACCATGATGATTTTCAGGGGGAACCCCGTGGAAGTCGACCTGGTACGGGTATAATGCTAGCAATGGGGGACTTAGACCCCATTACTAACAATCTCTTTTCACTAAATATACATGTACTAGATAAAATTTACAGAAAACTAATGTATTCTTATTTGAAACATAAATTACGTGTCTCTTAAAACTATTTGATATATTAACGTTCTCAAATGGATGGTTGTATAACACATTTGGTTAAAACTACCCACATATAAATATTTATTCAAAATTTATCATTGGCCTTTGCAAACTATAGAACATGTTTAATAATTAAAATTGAGCTCTTTTACGACCACATATTGTCAAAATGGAGTATTTTTTACGATTCCTTAACAAAACAGTAAAAAGGAAACTTTATGGTGCAACTTTGTCCGTCCGACCATACATCCATTTGTCCGTCCACCACAGCGCAATACCACAACATCTAATGCTATCATCTTGAAATTTGGAAAAGTTATAGATATTGTTGGCCCACATATTTTATATTAATACTATATTTACATTATTTTATTAAATATATGTAAACATAGTATTATTTACACATATTTAATTTTTAAACAGATTTAAGAATCTGTTTAAAAATATAATAACAACGACCTCTATTGGCTAAATACAGCACTAAGGTGCTATATTTAGCCAATAGAGGCGTTTCTTAATTTTTGTATAATATGCCATAATTTAACAGTTTGGTAATTGTCATTTTTAATACTTTCACGTTCATTCGTATAAGTATTATATACATATAAGTATTATAATACCAATATTTTTTTATCTAAAAAAAACGAAAACCTTTTAGAGATTATATAACGTACGGAACCCTCGGCGAGTGGTTCAAGTTACACATAAGCGGTTTTTAGAGTTCCGAAATAAAAAAAATCTTTATGGTGCGACTTTTTTTGTCCGTCTATCACAACGCTACGAGTGTATCTTAACAACTACTAACGATATCAATTTGAAATTTGGAATCATTTTACATATTGTTAGCCTACACGTATTACAATAGAAATAATTGAAAAGATATTTTGTTTGGTAGGAATTCCAAAAGGAGTACTCATATTTTCGAAATGGACCCTTGTGTTACTATTCATTAATAGGTTCTCTAAATTTTTTCTCTAGATATAATTTTTATATTACCAAAAACTAAAAAAGAAATTAATTGTTATTCTATTGACTTTGTATCTAATGTATTCCTGAAAGTTAAATTTAAAATCTACTGTTTGTTTTATCTTGATATTTCATCTACAATAGAAGTAAATTTAATTGATTTTCCAACTTCTAAAATCCGCGCGTACAAAATATTAAAAGTAGCAGGTAAAAAACCAGTAGTAAAATATATCTTTAGAGATATCATTACTATTTACCTTTTATTGCTATAAAAATAACTATCGCAATGATTTGTCATAAAAAAACCATCTTGATCGACCTAATAAACTTTAAGAGCGTAACAACCAATGGCAATCATCCGCAATATAATGAAATTGAACACAAAGAAACTTGTTCAAATATTTTCATGAATAATATAAAGATAGAGGGGCAGAACTTTGGAGCGTCAACATCGTGGTTCATGGCACCTGGGCGAGCCACTATTTATGCTACACTCATACACATTAGTACTAATTACTACATAAATAATTAGAAAGATACATTGTTTCTTCCTAAACATTAATTAGTTAATTGGTTGAAGTAGTAAATTGTGGTTCATAAGACCTTTTGAGAATTACATAGTCAACAAAGTCGTGAAGTAGTTGGATGGCTTAAAAATTCATGTTCACTTAAAATTTTACAACTACGGACCTAGTTTACTTATTTTAATTGATAAAATTGGAATAACGATTCAAGTTGTTGGGCTCCCTAAAAGATTGTCAATGTAAGATTTTGTGAGGATAATACTGATCTTTTATTACTTAATTCTAATTTTGTATTTTTAGATCTTAAAAATCTTCAATTTTATGTTATTATTCTACGTTGGTAAGTTGTATTTTTTGTTACAAACTTGTAAAATCAATTTTGTTTGAAAAAAGTTACAGTTGAGTTTTCTTAATAGAAACATTCTCTAAGTCAGTTTTTTATTCAATATTAATAGACAAGTAGTGTAGATTTACCTAAGATATCATAACCGTAGTTATAAATACGAAATATATTTTTAACAACGGCTATAAAAATTGGATGCAAAAGAGCTTAATTGAATCTGGCGATTTCAATTCGGAGTTCCTACATAATTATAACTGATGTCGGAAAAAGTTTAAAGAACTGACAAAAACAGCAAAGTAGATGATTTTTCCGGTAGAATTTCGTTCGAGAGGGGACACGCAATCAATAAATAACTTTTGTACCATCAAGGCAAGTGGTTTTGTGACATGATGAGTTTTCAAGTAAGTCGAAGTGCTGTCTAAGTCTGTGTTCGAGATGAAAGGACTAAGGACCCAAATGGACTTATGTTTTTAAATCTCGTCTTATTACTTATTTATTTATCTTGAATGTACCGTCTAACACGTTAATACAATAATGGAAACAAATTTGAAATCTTGCGCGGAACAAGCTTAACCAGGCACGTTTTTGTTTCAAATAATCTTTTCGTAGTAAAGTAAGTAATAGAATATATACAGCTGTCTTTAAAAATTATTACAAGATAAATTCAATATTTTCTTTTTTGCATGTTCTTCTTGATAACATTTTACTTTGTTGTCAGAAAGCAGTCTATTATTTTTAGAATAACAATCTTATTTTCAAAATAATGTTACTGCTATATATATATATCAAAGGATCTGTAGTTTGACGTGTTCTTTTTTTCTTTTTTTATATAAGAAATCAATATATTCTGATTATAAACTTTTATTTACAGTAATATATTAAATTATTTATTATATATATTCATCACATCACCCTTATTTGTCCACTTCTGAACATAAACCTCTCCCATAGACTGTCATAAGGGACGGGGCCGTTCCTTATAGCAGTTTACAATTGAGGGGAGGGGGATTCGTCAGTAGTTGTCACGCTCAGCAGGTGGGTTAGCAATAGCAGTTTCGCTTTTGGTGATGTTTTAAAAATGAAGTTGTTACCCATCCCTCGATCATTGAGTCCCCTTAGTCGCCTCTTACGACACCCACGGGAACGAAAGAGGTGGCCAATTCTATGTAGGGACCATACAGCTTACATATATTAAAAAAATATAAATAATTATATATAAATTTTATGTTGCTTACTAAGATAAATGGTATTCATTCATCCTATCTACTTTATATAGGTATTTATAAATAAAAATTAAATACTTATACATTGGTAAATACATCACTTGAAAACGGCAGTACTGTATTGGTTACAGTTACATTTTTAATTGTGACAGTCTGACTAAAGATATTAAGGAAATAAAAAAAAACTAATGAATCAAATAGTAGAATAAATAAATCAATACAACATCCTCGCATATTCAAATTAATAATAATAATTACATTCTATTATTTCTGCTTTAATTAAATTATTAATGTGAATTTTCTAGAAATATATACTGAATATATCCTGTTAAAGTCGAAAATTCGAAATTGCTCTTGGCACGTGTCCGGCCTTGAACGCTTTTGAAGAGCTCTTAATCTTAATTTATGATTATTGATTACCTTTTACTTAACAAATTTTCTCGTCAAGTTTAAACATTGATAATGTTTCAAATATAAACAATCCAACAAAAAGTGGTACGCCCATATAATAAGCGAATTCACTTTTGAGGTGTTCAGTTTCTGATAATGTCTAATATTAAAAGACACAGCTGATATTTTATTTTTTACAGCAAAACTAAATGTTGATTTTACTTATTGACCTTTGAATAATTTTTAAACAATTATGGGCACATTCACAATTTAAATATTATTATTTCTCTGAATGGAATAAATAATCACAACACGTAGATTCTTGTTACAGTAAATTCTTTTATCTTTCCCATAATCTTTTACCGTATAACAAGTTTTATTTAGGATTTAGATCTATTTGACGACAATTTTAAAATTTCTATGGACATTTTATTGATCTGAATCTTTGCAACCAATATCGTCCAAGATATAAACTGAACTCATTTTATTCTTTTCAGATATATGCCATGGTGTGCGTGATATCTCAGTTTCAAGAATATCTAGAAGGACGGGGTACAGCTGCCTTCGATTACTCTGATAGGGTGAGTTTTTATAAAGTATTGTTATAAGGATTTGATTTATTTTTCATAGTAGATACACTCAAAAAACTGAAAAAACGTGAGCAACTTGACATTTTTACTTTGAGTAATAATAATAGTATTATTTATTTATTATTTTTAAGGAAAACTTACAACTGTAACAAATTATTAATTAGTAATATATGATAATTTCCGAGTGGTCTCGGTATAGAATAGGCCATCCCTTCCTGTTCCGTAGGTGTCGTAAGGGGCGAGGGATGGGCAACAGCGTCCCTTTTAAAACATCACCAAAGCTTAAATGTGGTAGCCAAGTTTGGCAGGCGGATTGGCAATCGTAGTTCTAATCTGCAAAGCCTAACTACAGTTACCAATCCGTCTGCCAAGCATGACAAGTAATGGTAGCAGTGACAATTAAAATCTGATATGATTATGATGAACATATGACAAACAAAAAGCTAATTAAAAGAAGCCACATACCGTTAACGAAAATTGAATTACTTACAGTCTAAATAATTTGAGTGTGCAAACACGAGCTAAACGTCGATAAAATCACTGAATGAATAATTTGCAATGGTTTTTCTTATATAACGACCGCTGCTATTAAATATATTCCTTTCATTATCCCTGCTAATTACATTTTTTAATCAAAAAAAAAACATTAGAACTAAATTATAGTGAGATTAATTTTAGTTATTTTAGTTTAGGTTAGTAGCATACTCAAATGCCATCAGATCGCATCTCGTCGACAACAAGTTGTAACTAATATGAAATACTCTTGATAAACCAATTTAATCCATTTCAACACGGTTGATTCGTCTATCTATATTTGCCTATATAATATATCCTTTTAATAACATAAATGCGAAAGATTGTAAGGGTGGATGGATGAATGGATTGTTTCTCTCTTACGCAAAAACTTAAATGAAATTTGGTATGGTGGTGGTTTGGTAGATCATATCCTTACTAAACACATAGGATATTTTATGTACTTATCACGCAGTGCGAAATCAGAGGATATGTCTAGTTTGTAATAGTTCACAAATGTCTGGAATTACCCTATTAAAGATTACAATCGTCAAAATATTTATTTATTTTATAAACGTAGTAAATTATTTAATTAAAGGTAATAAATACATAAACTTTTATGTAAAAAGCAATACAATCATTAACTATATAAAATAATAAAATGTTCAAGAGTTTTATTCTCGACATAGCGAAAGTGACTAGGTACGTCTACAGTGCCAAGGTTGGAAGGTTACACTGAAAGCACATTGACCCGTCAACGGTGGGGAATCCATCTGCTTATTACGTAATGTAAGTTATACAATTTGTATACTGAATTTATAGTAAGATTATTTAAAAAAAAAAACAATCACGGTGATTCATATTGGATTTTTGTTTAAAAAACAATTTGCTAACGACTACAATCTCTCTAATGGGATAGTCAGAGGCACTTGTAAACTGTTGTTATAAGTCCCGAGCATTTTAGAATTACACAGATTAATTTTATTCATTAGCTTATTTTTTATTTTTTTTATTAGTACAAATATGTGTACATGGCGGACTTAATGCTAAAAGCATTCTCTCCCAGTCAATCATAGGGAAGTGTCAGAATACTCGAATGCGGTACTAGTAATTTTATTTTCTCCTATCTGGAGGAGACCTGCTCTTACCATCAGGGGGCGGGTCGCTGCCGTCGGAGATGTGGTGAGTGCGAAAGCGAACCCATGTCTCCGACATATGGCACCTCGAGGGTATGTCGTCTTGTTTTTGGTGGGTACACTCCCACCGTACGGGGGGATTCCCACAGTACCCATTTACCTCTCACAAGGTGTATGGGTCTGCATAAAGCATTTTCCAGACGATAAATAAAAAAAGGTGGACCACTTATATGTTTGCAAACAGGAATAAACAATACAATCGAGTAGGTTATCCCTTTCTAAAAAAATATATTATTGACTAGTTGTTTCCCGCGGAATCACCCGCGTAAATCAGTGAAAAGTATTATATGTATTATATTACAATATAACCTACTATTAACCTACCAAATTCCATTTTAGTGTGTTAAATAGTTTTAGCTTAAAAAGGTAACAAAGATCCATCCATCCCTAGTTACAAACATTTGTATTTATTATATTAATAGGATTGCCTTCCCTTGGATTTACCATTGTATTCACACTTTCTTGCATTAAATTTATGAAATTAATTTGAGAATATAGTTAGTTAAATAATTCTATACCTTGTTCTTACTTCCAAACAAAATGTCAGTAGTGAGAAAAGAGTAAACATAAGCTACAATATTGTATGGATGAAAAAGAAAGCTCTCCAGGGAGGCTGTAGCCATTCCAACACTTTTTCCATACAGTAGGTAACGTTAAAATGTATTTTTTTACGATAGACCCGACTTATGTTAGTTGTTTTACTTTAGAAAAACTATATTTTCGTAGCAATTCTAAGTCCTTTATACTTACGTTGGTAGTTTTTCGCTTCGATTACTATTTTTATTAGTCCCTCGTAGTTGTTGCTTATATTAAATATTATAGCTATGTTTTATATACTAGTAACTCAAAATTATACTAGTTGGATTTCGAATGAGAGTAATATTAAATACAGAAACAAAAAACCCAGAACACACAAAGTTATTAATTTAATAAATTTTGAAAAACAACAGCTGAGTTTCTTGCCCATTCTTCTCGGCGGAAATTGCATTCTGAATGGGCGGTAGAATTGTAAAATATGACTGAATAAAAAATCTTTCTGTTTTTCTTCTTTCTTTACTTTATAACTAGATATTAAAAAAATAATAAGGAAGTAATTTAAAATGAACTACCTGAATACATTACTAAAACTGAAAATAATATCCATGCTTATTACATAAATATTAACTTGTTAATATAAAATAAATATTGACTAATTAACAATTATTTAAACTTTAAATAGATTCTAAAAGATATGGATAAGTAATAATAATAATAATAAATCTTTATTTAACTCTTTGTTACAATATAGTTTGAAGTCCCTAACTCCCGAGGTAGGTATGAAAAAACCTGTGTTTCAGGAGTTAATAAGTAGTAATAGAGATTGGAATTTTGCGTACCTATCTTACGATAACATGTATAAAGGCCAGATTGATTAATTTATATGTGGTTTTATTTGAAAGAATATTGCAAACACGCATAAATTTAAACTAAAAAATGCCATCACTAAAAAGTACTTTGTATCGTAGATATTTAATGTACGTTATAAGAATAAATACACTTGGTAGAAATGGCATTTATATGCATAGTTTCCTTTGTGTATGTAGCAACGCTATAAAAATGTATGCTTTTTCTCTTCAAAGCCCGCATAGGTTGGAAGGCTATCATGAATTTATTCGCATTTCAAAATAACATATAACATGACTCAGACGACATATTATTTTGTGCGGGTGAGCGAAACGTACACTCTTGTTGTTGCTTGCAAGCCCTAATTTAGCTCTTTATAGGGCGTGGGCAGTCAGCGTGCCAATTTAGTTATCATTATTCAATTCACGAGAGTGTCGATTCTACCTGGATATTGATTCTGATGGCCGTGTATAGAATTTATCTATTTATATCTAACGCTATCAACTTCTTCTGTAACCTGTATATATATATATATATATATATATATACATTTCTAGTAGTATATATATATATATATATATATATATATATATATATATATATATATATATACTTTTCATATCTAACTTCGTAGTCACTCGGTTCACTTTTAGTATTATTCAGTTATTAACTTTTACCTGCAGCTTCGTCCGCGTGGCCAAGATATATTCATTAAGAACCTATGTCCTTCTCCATCTCAAATAGTATGTGTCTACAAATATTATAAAGATTAGTCAAGCCGTCAAGAGCTCAAAAATAAACAACCACACTCACTTTCACAATTATAATATTTACAATAAGATGCGAGTCTTGCAAAAAATTAAAAAAATTGCGATCAACTGTACTCGACACTTTACATAACATTTAAATAGACTAGTTTAGCTACATTCATGTTTAAGTTTAATATTTTTTTTTTATCTCTTTTTAGGGATAACATATAAGCCAAAAAGGCACAAAAGTATATTTATGGTGCAACTTTATCCGTCCGTCTATCTGTCTGTCTCTCCATTCCTCCGTTCCTCAGTCCGTCCCTCCATCCCTTCGTCTGTCTCAGCGTTATATCTCAGCAACAAGTAATGTTATGGATTTCAAATTTAGAATAGTTTTACATATCATTGACCAGCATATATTGCAATGGAAGTAATTTACAAACATCCAGAATTTGTGAAGCGAAAAATCGCCAATAATAATTTGTAAATATATGTATGAATATTACAGGAAAAAGAAAACAATCTTTGTAACTGGTACTATTTTTGAGAAATTATTTAAAAAAAAAAATCTTCCAAAAACAACTTTTTGCGGTCGGGCACATTTACTATCCATATTTTCTAGCCACATTTACGACTGAAATAACAATAATAATAATTATTAGGTGTCTATTTCATATAAAAAATACAAAAAGGATGCAATGTAAGCGTATAAAAATATGTAACGACAAATCTTTGAAATGATCGGCTTTCCTCAATTATAATGTACTTGTATTATATTCTACGCGTAAACCTTTCTCTAGAATCTTAGTTCCCAAAGTAGTCCAAGTCAAAAGTCAAAAGACTCCTAGAGGTCCACGGGAGGCTCGACAGTCAGGGCCGTGCCTGGGTATATGGCCACCTGCGTGCCAGTCTGTATGGCCGCCCCCAGGATAACATTAAAAAAAACTACTTTAATTTTTAATGTTTATTATTATACACAGGGCATCAAACCGGGAAAAAAATCAGTTTTTGGTTAACCGAAATCGGCCCAGTAAACAACTTGTAACGATTTGGCCGCCTCTTAATTTCGGCCGCCTGCGTGCGGTGCACGCAATGAACGCCCGTCAGGCACGGCCCTGTCGACAGTGATCTACGTTGGCGTGATAAAAAAATGGACGTTCACAATTCGTAAGCGGGAGTCCATGAAAATTTATTAACTTTCAATAGAAAGCAATAGCTTAAAGAACTTAAATGTTGACTTGTTGACTTGACTTTACCTATATACGCAGATAATGTTTGTTATCATATTATAATGTAATATGATTACAGTATGTAATAACAATAATAATTAATAGTGTAATAATAAAAAAGAGGTTTAAAAGGCACCCAAAGTCGAAAAGCATGTTAAAAAAAGAAGGAAAATTATGATTGATTATAGTTCTAATGTCTTAAAGAGAGAATGTGTATTTTATTGAGCATCTGGTTTTGCCACTTCACTATTATTTCACGTAGAGATGCGTTCATACTTTTTTTATTTTTCTCTGAAGTTATGGAGTAATTCATTAAGTACTCGGAGCAGACAGTACCTATCACGATCCAACAAAAGCTGACAGAAATAAATGGCATAACACTAATTTATAACTTTTATTTCTTAACTAGTTTTTAACTGCGACGTCGTCTGCATGACTAGGGTAATTATATTTATTGAGCGGTAATAAAAGTAGCCTTTATCCTTCTCTATATTCAGAAGAATATCAAACATTATTTCGTTCGGTTCAGCCGTTAGGCACTAAGTGTTAACAAACAGTTATACTCACTTTCATATTTATATAGAAGCTACCAGCTCTGATTGCGCATGGGTAAACATAAAGATAAGTTAATATTTTACATTAGCTTTATTAGGCGAATTTTTAGTACTTTGTACTATATTTGTATTTTTTTTTTTAATAATACGAGTACATAGCCTATATTATTCGCTGATAATGTAGCTATCTATTGGTATAGGAAATATTAAACTCGGTCGACTAGTTTTTGATTTTACCCCTTACAAAGAAACAAAGCAACAAAAAACTTTTCCACTTTATTATATTAGTATAGATATAGATTTATAAGTACAGACTAGCTTCTACCCGCAACTTCGATTGCGTGACCGAAAATTATATATTGGTTAACCGCTACAAAACGTAATCCATACCCTTCTTTATCTCAAATATCATTACAATTGGATAAGTCGTTAAGATATTAAAGGGGTAACAAAAAAACTTTATAATATATCCTATTGTATTATAATACAATATGAAATTTGAAAAACTACTAAATAGATTTCAATGATTTATATATCCTAAGGACATAAGATATTTTATATAGTAATTCACGTGGCAGAAACCGCGGAACATTGTTAGTTGTTAGTAACATTGATGCTTTTTATATTAGCTAGCAGCGGTGCAGTACACAGCAACAGCTCAGCAAACCACGACCACAAGCTCAGCACCAAGCGGCCGGAGGCGCTCTGCAGGAAAACCGATGCCTAGTCGACATGAGCCAGAAGAGTTCTCCGAGGCACCTACTAAGACCATTAGTTAGTATAAAATTTATGCATTTGTAATATTTTATTTTTCCGTTTATTCCCAGCATAAAATAGGCTATCCCTTCCTTATCTGTGGGTGTCGTAAGAGGCGACTAAAGGAACTTAATGATTATATGTATAGAAATGAGCAGCAGCGTCCTTCTTAAAACATCTCTAAAAGCCTAGCAGCGGTTACTAACCCGTCTGCCTAGCGTGGCAGCTATTAGCAAAACTCTCCTTATGTGGAAGGCTTATGTTCAGCAGTAAACTGTTAACGGCTGAAATTATGAATATTTTACTACTAACCTCCTTTTATCTAATATGGGGAAAAACAACCTTTAAAATTCCGTTATACAAGAATCCTAATATAATTTGCTTTGCATAAATTGCCAATGTTGCCCCATTTTTAGTAATATATCCTATCAGGTCGACTTTCACATGGTTCTCTCTGAATACCATCATGTTTAATTCTTGTCGAATTCGTAATATCTGGTATATATGGAGTACTTTGCAATGAAATTTTTTATTACATATATACAATAGATTTCTTATATTCTACGATAGTACGGCTCAGCTGATGTCAAGTGATTGCCATAACCAAGGTACTTCCTTGTGATCCTCAAAAATTTACCGCTTAAATCACAAGAGAATACCTTTAAAGAAAACTCAATTCACAGCCTGAACGTTCGCGAATGAAAGTTCCTCTCAGGAATTCAGTAAAATAAATTCCTAATGTAGTAGCATTAGCAAGTAAATTGAGTTTACTTGCATTCGCAGTGGCGAAATTAGACATCTCATGAATGAAATAACTGCTTAATTTCTAAAGCAAGAATTTAAGAATTTGAATTGGGATTTTGATGTGAATATCGTAGTTTTGTGGTTTACTAGAATTATTAACATCTATTTTTTTAAATACAGTCGATATTGAAGTTTCAAAATCACACGCGTAGATATAAATAATCAAAACATTTTAATAAAGACATTGGAACAAAATACAAGTATTTTAAATAAAAATTATGTCATCAGTTATAATATCACCAAAAATAAATTTCGCAAAGATTGGTCAACTTTTGATTTATTATGTGAATGAATTTGTATCGTGTATTATCATCATATCAGTCTATGCCCATCCATTGCCGGACAGAGGCCATTCTCTAATGGCTTTCACAATGTGTAATCTTCTTCTTTTCGCATCCATCTAATTCCGACTATCTTATTAATATTATCGATCCATCTACAGAGAGTATATGGCTGGCCCATTGCCACTTCAGCTATGTCAAGCACTTTAGTCCTTCGTCGAATTTCTTCATTCCGTATCATGTGCCCCTTAGAGAAACTCCAAGCCGTCTCCATCGCTCTCAGCGCGACTTTTAATTTATAGACTTCTAATTTATGGCTACAGGTCTTTGATCTCCGTATACGTACCGTCATAGCGGGTTAAACGCATTATGGTTTGTAATTAGAATGAATATCTTTAAATATTGGGAAATTCATGGGATGAGGATGTTGCATGTCGTGTATATTTAATATAATTAGTATTTATAAAATAAATTGAACACAATAAAAGAGTTAATAAAACAATATTATTGGCTGGTTTATACTCGTAAATTAAAGTTATTACTCTTTTTTTTAACATCTTATAAGAAACGTTACTATTACCACCACGTTTGTACGAAGTAGGTATCCAGGTGATTTATTTTTTACGCTGCACACATAACGTAAAATTATAACTTGTAAATAATAACAATTTTTTTTTAGTTTACGACTTCAATTCACTATTTGATTTTGAGTTACTTTATAATTGTTTTCTTTTTATTTTAATAATTTCTTTATTTTTACTAATCTATTCAATGTGAAATGAGAATTATTAGAATCATTTTAAGAGATTTTTTTAAAAGTAATACTGTATATTTTTTCCAAAGACAAATAGATTCAAAAATTACAGAAAATCAAGACCTGCTTTTTCAGCACGTCTATAATATGTTAGTTTGGGATGCTGTATTTTTTTCTGAATTGATGCTAATAATTTTAATATTTTGCTATATAAATATTGCACTATAATCAATATAAAAGCAGTTCGTTATTTTTTAGCGCCTTAATGGCTCATTTAATTTATTTTGACAAATTAGATATTCTTTGCAATTTTCAAAAAAGTTTTGAGTTGGCATTTGGTTTCTACTTATTACTTCTATAATTACAATTCACCAACTGTTGCAAAATATTTCAAGACCTACGTTTTCCTCGTTTAGTCTCGTATCTATCACAAAGTCCAGAAAAGATGTTGCATACTTTAAATAGTTCAAGTTTGTTTAATTTTATCAACTCTTTTAAAGTCAGTTATGGTTTAACATTATACTATACTGTTTCCTTTTAAATATTAACAATTATATCTCAATATTTTTAGTTATATAAATAAGAAAAGAGACTATTCCTCCCTGTGCATGTGTGCAAACGAAACGTATCTTAAAGTACTTTAAATAGTTCAAGTTTGTTTAATTTTATCAACTCTTTTAAAGTCAGTTATGGTTTAACATTATACTATACTATTTCCTTTTAAATATTAACAATTATATCTCGATATTTTTAGTCATAGTTTAGAATTTGTATTTCTTAAGTTTTGTGACTTTACATTTTTCTGTAGTTTCATGTTAGATTGAACAGAATTAGTGGTAGTAATATTTTTAACTAGTACCCAAACACATTATGTATAAAGTTGTGTGTAAGATTGAAAATTTTAGTTGTTTGTATAATAATGTTGGTGTGAGTTAATAATGGTTTTATAAGAATTTCATAATTTTATTTTGTGTGCTTTGTAACGGAAATAAATTCATTTTAACAGTTGCTATCAAATAATCGAAAGGTGATTTTACTAAAGTACATTACTCAGCATACAATTTGCCACCCTACGCAGTGCACACAGGCGTGAAACCTATGTAAAATAGGTTTATGGAGACGTTTGACATTTTTATAAATAAGAGGATGATTGATTTATTTACACGGAACACATGATATTTATTGAATTTTAATTAACAGCTTCGGTGCTCTCGAAGACAAGTCGATCAGCGGTGAAGAAGCACGTCCAGTTTCCAGACGAGCAGAGCTGTATCGAGGAGGCAACTGAAGGTCCAGCTTCATCCGTTATCGAAGAGAAACCTGGTGCGTTTTTTTTTCTTTATATAAATACAGAGTGAAATCGAAGTTATTAGTATTCTCTTAAGTAAGCGTCCTACCAGTTAAGGTGAACAGTTTTCCCAAAAATATATACGTCCAAAGGACAAATATTTTTGAGCCTCTCTTACTAACTCAATTAGTCATGCCGTATTAGTATGAGAGGCTGTTCATGTTTTCTTCTAGAAAAACAATTCAGTTTCAATTTCAATCTGTATAGCTTTTAATAAATCAACGAATTGTATAATAGTTTATTGACGATACCTAAATATTTGATAAGAACTACGTGACTATTACTAATGCCACGTAACGCAACAGTAATTATCAACTTTATCCAAATAATATAAAATTGTGTATTATAAAATAATTTATATTTATAAAATTATAGGTTTAACTTGCAAGTTATACCTTTATAGATGATCATACATCAAAAGCACTAACTAGTGCTAGTATAATTAGTGCTTGCTAATTACTATGAACTATTCCTTGCTATTTATACTATGACATACTCTTGCTACAACGATACAATGATTACCTAATTATTATATATTCAAGATTCATAAAATGATTTTTGTATTATTTATATTGAGAATTTAGCTTTATAAACTATTTATAAATAATATTGACGGTTATAATAAAACCACTAGAAGAAAACCTTATAATTATTTTTTTTAGTTATCATGCAAAATAGGAATCTCGGAAAATGTATAATTTTATAGGTGAGAAAACATAAAACCATGATTATAGGTCTATAAATAATGAATGAAGAAGCTTTCAGAAACGTTAAAACACAGTCGTAAAAACTTTTGTTAAAAATATATTCAAACGCCCCATAAAAATGAGATAGGTGGTACTTATTCTTGTGAGTCAGTCAATTTATTGTAATTTAATGGAACAAATATGTAGGGAAAATTGGTTTTTGCATAATTGGAATAAATTTAAGTAGGTACTCGTGGTAATTTTTCATAGATAGATAAACATTTTTTATTGTTCTAAAAACTTAAATTAGAGTATTAAATCAGTAGTAATAATGAAAATTGCAAAAAGATAATCGGTCTTATCACTAAAAGCAATATTTTGGTAATCTTTGCATATAAGAGTAATATTAAGTATGAATATTAGACGGTGGACCAAGGCCGTGACAGAATGGTACCCAAGAGAGAAACAGAAGACAGTCGGTAAACCACCAACCCAATGGTCGAATGACATAGTACGGAAAGCGAGGTGACAGTGGATGTGGTTAGAACACGACCATTCCAAGTGGCGCGACAAAACGGAGGCCTATACCCACCATTGGGTTGATGTGGGCCGAATAGATAAATGAATAAATATATATTATTAAATTGTCCTATTTTTGGAATGCGCTACCAATTGATATCATACAAGTATCTTACAAATTCGCTTTCAAAATAATCTAGGAATCTCTTATGAAGAAGCTGTGAAAGCAGTTCATCATTATCATCATCACTTTTGGTCTCTACCGTTACTTTACTGGTATTATATAATCGTGTATGTATGTACGTTTTATGATATATATTTATATACATATATAAGTAAAATTTGTTTAATGTATTCATGTAAGTATATTTATGTGATCATAACGTGTAGTAGTTCTCCATTGTATATATTTTATAATTTGTAAATTAATACGAATACAATACGTCTGTGACTGTTTATGTACAACAATTTTAAAATTTTTTCACTGTATATACATTTCTGATTTGCTGAAAGTTGATTGGGAATGAATGCTTTATAACATTAAGTCCGCCTTTTATACCAAACATTTGTTTGTACTCGTAATATGGTCAATAAAGAAATACAATTATAACAAATTGCACAACAACCACCTAGCAATATTCAAAAAAATCAGTCTCTAAAATATATGCAATTAAATTTAAATATTTTATTGTTAATACTGTAGGATATATAAACCAGAGGGAGACTTTGTACAAAAGTCGTTTGCTTGTACTTCTGTCCCATTCGTGTTTCAACTGTACGGTAGTTGTGTTTGCATGGCTGTGTTTCGGTTTGAAGGGTGAGATGTGGCGTGAATTTACAGGGTACAGAGGAATAACATCTGAGTCCTCAGGAATGGCAACGCATGGGGGGTATCATGGGCGAAACAGTATACTCTGTTATGTCCATGGTACTGCTCATGTCTATAGGCGACGATGACCACTTTCCATCAGGAGGGCCGTCAGATTGTTTGCCATTCTAAGTTGTATAAAGAACAAAAAAAATATGTAATAAAATGTAAAAATACTACAAATATTCTTTACATTATAAGATTTGATTAACCATTGTCCATACTGCCCAGGAATTGTTTATAATGCACCGCGTAATTACGTTCCTCATAACATAATCAACCTATCTACAAGAAATACGTTGTACGTTATAAAAACTTACCTTGGTATAAATAAATCATTGAAACTACCCTACAATGCCACTCAAATTAATAATAAATAGAACGGGATAATGTTATTGCTGCCCAGGTTGGCCAAAACAACCTTCCTTACGCCCTTTATTGTACCTCCCCACCCGTGTTCACCGTTTTATGATCGTTCCACAGTCTACAGGAGCAATTAATCATAATTATCTTACGCAATTTTAGTTTACCTTGAAACTATGATTTATTAGAATTACCAATTAAATTGCCTAAAATTCTGCAATCGAAATATTTAAGTAGTTTTCACTTACGCCTAAATTGATAAGTTTATCGAATAAAAAATATCATTTTTAACATAAACAAAAAATAAATATTGTTTATGTCTTTATTTTGTCACTATAAATAACGTGTAAGAGTTCTAAAAAAAAGAGTTCTAAGGAAAGTATACAGTCATATAACAATTGTCTATGAGATGCTTGTACTTGTATATCTACGTCTTTATGATTTATATTTTTAATTTTGAAGTGCATATTTTACGATTTTTATATGACGTATCAAGTTAAAACATACACCAATTTTTAAATTAGAATTGTGAAAACTGTATTCAAATTCATGGAGTAATTTTTGCATTCTGTGCACAGACATTTAGATATAATTATTTAATATTATTAATAAGACAATAAATTAAGTTTTTATTCTACAAAAAAAACGACTTCAATTGTGACAAAGCTAGTTATTTTAATTTTATAACTAATCGATTTTGCTAAAATTTCTATGGAACTAGTTGGAAAGTATATCCTTCGAATAAAAAAAAAATACATACAACGAGATACATACTAAACTAATTTTTAGACACGGCTTCAATCAATAAATATATCCCGATATTTACTGATCCTCCATCCTGAATTAAATCACCAAGACATAATAAACAAACTTTATAATATTAATAATAATCTAAGAGCCCGTAAATACCTGACCTACCTTATTTTATAAAAGCTGAAATTTTCTAGGCGCATACTCCCAACTCCCAACATAGGTAAGAACTATGAAGTTTGGCTTTGGTAGGTTAATAAAATATAAATAAAATACAAACTTAAATTTATCAGATATTAATTATACAAATACCTAGCTAGTAAGATCAGTCAATGGAGTCATTAAGAATTAGAATTCCCGTGGTTCAGTGTGATCGTAGTCAATTGAACCCGCTATTGCTGTGTTTAAAAGGAAAATAGCTTCTCGCTTCTCATTAGGCTAATGGTTTGCTTTTCGATTCAGAAACCAAAATACCCTCTTCACTATGTTACGAATACCGCTACGGGAATCTTGCAAAAATCATTTCACAGACCTCAAAATTCTCACAGTGCCAAGTTCATATTTGCTAGTTCCTCTTACCGACATGCAGAGAAATCTAAATTTGTATGAAAATGAAAAGAAAAGACAAATCAGATTAAATACAAGAAGAAAAGATGTGGTGAATACGTTTTACCCCAGACTCCGAGTTACAAAACATTGTGCTTTATACCAGTCAATCAAATTATTGAACAAGTTACCCTCTGATAAAAAAGCATTGAGAGTTTCAATACTTTTAAAATTAAGCTTAGAGCTATTTTGTTAAAAAAATGTTTGTACATTTTGGCCGAATTTAATAATTATGTATTGGACAAAAAATTAATTTCATTATTACCATATATATTCTTAAATATATATACATATAAATTATTAATTTTTTTTCTAATCGAACTTTATTTATTTCATTATTATCTCTTATAAATTTCTTACTCTGGTAACTTAATTTAAACACGATTGAATAAATGAATATGAATAATATGAATGAGCTAAAAAGACACAGTAAACTACTTGAAATTATTTATTTTTTATATAAAGAAAATGGAATGGTAACTCCGCCTACGCTGTCGGTGCACATATACGCTGGCGTGGTACCGACGATAAGCGAATCAGTTGATCCAACATAACGAATTTGCCAGAACTTAACCACAATATTTTCAAAGGGGGATCGCGTGGATGTCAATCTGATAAAATATATTGCTAATATCTAAAAATACTGCTAAATACTATTACTATCAACTCCCTTTCCCTTCTGTATATTTATTTTAAATATAGCGTTTTGTACTCGTATAATGTAGTGCATGAAAACTTAAGAAAATGGTAACTTGTAGCATACCAATGAAAGAAAATAAGGTGGAATGGGGGAAAGGGTTACTAATAATGGAAACTAAACTATTATATATACTTTTTCATGTTTATTCCACGTAGTCCCTATCTGGAATCCATTTTCAATTCCGTTCTCAATTCGGTTGCATTTTTGTTGCCTCTTAGTACGGAAGTACCGTTAGTTGTAAACCGATTTCATTTTTTTAACAGAAAGAATAAAAGTTTTTTTTTTTTTATTAGAAAAAATTATATCAAAATTAGCTGATTAGTTTAGTTTTTAAATCTAAACAACCGGTTTTGCCACAATTGAAGTGGATTTTTTTGTGGAACGCAATATTTTACGTCAAAACTTAATCATCGAAACGTCAAACTACATAGCTACATAAATTTTGACACTCATTGCTCTATCTACATAATCTTAGAACACAAATTTCTTGGTGTGCAGAGACGCGCGTAATCAGCTCCCTGTGGATGGAGTTGGAGTCTGAAGCGCCGGCGCCGGAACGCTGACGCCGGCGCAGCGAGCAGTACTATCGGCCGGTGTCACGCGCGCGCCTCGAGCGCCGCAAGATGTCCGCCGCCGGAGTACCGCCCGCTGATACTTCACACAGCAAGGACTCTTTATAAGCGCCCATGCAGATGGATACATCGCCTTAAAGATATTATTATAATTATTATACCATCGCTGCTAAGGAAAAATGTATTAAACGCCTCTTTGACCGACATAGCATTATAAGTGATTCTAGTAACCCTACATGCACGTTAAACACGTTTTTTTTCAAAAATTAAATAGTTATAGCCTATTTTATTCATTGATAATGTAGCTTTCTATAGGTGAAATATGTTTTCAAATTGGTTTAATATTTTCGAGTTTATACATTGCAAAAAAAAATAAAATATTTCGTCATTATAATATTAGTTCAGATAAGTATTTTTCTGCGTCGAAAGGTATAAAGGCAACCACAGAAATTTCTTTGGAAATATTATTACTCGTAATATACGAAGATCGTAATACAATAATTGTTAACTGATTGAAAAATGTTTAAGCAGACTGAATTTGAATCGTTGCCTCTTTAGTTAGAAGTTGGTTTATTTACACTCCAAAACGTTTCGTTGTAGTCTATCTTTTATTCATATACCTAAAACATGTAAAAAATATAAAGATGTGATATTAACTGTATCACTGTAGCAGATATTTTTTATACAATATATTATCGCACATTTTGCCTTTTCGTTTCGCTTCGTGTTTTTGATCCCCTGTAAAATTCACGGAATGTCGCTTAATACATTTTCCCTTTGTAGCGTAGAGCATTCATAACGAATCTCACCAAAGTGCGGCAATGTTGCTATCATTTGTCAATTTTCAAAAACAATTGAACAATATTTTCAATATTAATGATTTAAAAAGAGCTCAATTAACTATTAAAATGTTAATACATAATAATTGCAGTATTATTCTTATAATTTTTGATACAAAAAAAATAGAATTCGTAAACAAATTACGATTTTCCTTTTTAAGAGTTTTATATGAAGTTATGCATCATACTCTATAACATTATATGTTTTAGTTCGATTTTAGAACACTTTTTAAATAATAAATATTTAAATAAAAGAAACAAAGTTCAATATTTTTTTTTAATTGACACACAGTAAATAGCATCGTTATCACACTTCGTCACGCTTTGGTATGAACAGGGAAGTTAAAAATCCTACTGTACACAAATCATAATAGTATTTACTTTCTATAACTTTGATGGATTTTTAACTCTCCTTTTCCCTCTCATCATACTTCCCCTTATAGTATAGAATTAAGTAATCTATTTTTGTCTCAACTGTGCTGTAAATCTAAATAGATATATTTATTTCTACAATATATTTTAAAAATGTGTGCTATGCGGGCTGAGCTTGTTGGGAGAATTTATTTACATGTTATAAATGTTAGTACCGAGGTCTGGTAACGTCTCTACTATCTATCAATTTTCAATATTTTTCTATAAATAATTTAAATTAATTTTATACTCAAGATATATTCTATATTACCTATAATCTGCGATTTTAGTTATATCGTGATATTGGATAGCCTATAACCTTCCTTAAAATATAAGCTATCAATTGCAAAAACAATTTTTCAAATCGGCTTGGTAGTCATAGAGATGAACGCGTTCAAACAGCAAACAGACAAACACTTTCACTTTATTATATTAATATTGATACAGCTTTCACGTCGAATATTCAATAGCATGAAATATTCTTACACGGAGAAAATTCTACCCCTGGTTTTAATCGGAATTCTAGATAGTTTACCAGATTTACCTCTTATAAACCGACTAGACAATAAAATCAATATATTACATGAAATACTCTAATTTATCTGGTATGAACTGACAAATTAACAGACATAATGAAATTAATATGACGAACTCATATATTGAGAGGTATGAAAGTCATGTTAAAGTGTTATGCAAAGGTATACCGTATTTTTATATTGACACCCAGATAAATCAGTGGGATCATTACCCATATAATTACGATGATTCCTATTTATACTAGTATTTCTTCCTTGTATATTTACGACTGTAAAAAACTCGTTTAAAATCATGATATTTTAGAAAACAATATTGTACTTAGGTAAGTATGCTTGGTATATATTTTTGAGTACGCTGCGTATGTATGTTCATAAAACATTTAGGTTTTTTATGATAATAAAGTTTTTTTACGATTACACAGGTACACAAGAATGTCGTGAACTAGAAACCCGTGGTTTATAACTTACTTTCCCATTACCAACCCCGTAATTATTATATCAGTTGTCTAAAGTTTAAAATGCTTTAAGTAGAGTCGAATGAAATTCATTAATAGTTTGTATTTCGAACTCGAAGCACTTTTTTCGAACTATTTTAATACTGTTGGCCACAGACGTCCTTTACAGCGTCACTGGAGATATCGAGATACGAATGTAGACGGATGGTATCCGCGAATTTATAGGGGATGGTCTTACGCCGTCTTCTGCATATCGGATACTACGCATAAGTTTGAAAATATCACCAGATGATTCAAACTTCGGTTCAGGTAGCTAAATCTTGGTCCCTGTTTAAAAAAACAGAAGGATTATTTATGTTAAGCTTTTGGACAACAACAAAACTATAAACGTTGCCTTCAGTTTTAAGTACTTCTTAGTGGACGGATTCTACCAGAGAAGTCGTGATGAGAGTTTGTTGGATTTGTGGTAGGTGAAAAATACAATTATTCTCATCTGAGGAATCGTATCAAATTCAGATGGCACAGAGAAATCAATGGCCTTAGGAGGAACGGAGATCTAAATACGGGAAGCATCTACGAAGCTAGAGCTCAATGGTGTGTGCCTGGTTAAATTGGGATAATGGATGCAATATACGCTGGTGGAGTTCCAGCAAGAAACGATAATTGAAAATGAAACAAGTAATTTGGCTTATCTTAACGAATACATAAAGAATAAACTACATCGCTTTCCAGAGGGAATTGTATGAAGATGATGACATGATAAATATATTGCTAGCAATGGGGATGCTAGTCTATATTACTGACAAACCCTTCCTTTCCCTATGTTCAGGACTGGACATAGGTCCATAGGGGTTTTTATATCAGATCTGTATAGATCTAAGGTTACGGTTTGCCTCAGTTTACATGTTTAGAGACGCAAGAGCGGATAATGCATTCCCTGCCGGGTGAGGCAGAACGCTTTGTACCTAGATTCGTGTGACCTTAATATATAAGCTCACCTACATTATTGAAAAATAAGTACATAATGGAATCTACATGAGTACATATTGGGTTCTGTCGACCCGCAGAAGCAACAGCGCGTGGGTAGTTTTATATAATCTAGGTCTAAGGCTACGTTTAAGTCTAGGTGTACCCCACAGCTAAGTCTACGGCTACATCCAAGTTTGCGTGCAATTCGATGGGCTTCGAGTGAAACCGTGTGGAAGTCGATCTAACAGAGTATATTGCTAACAATGAGGCCGCTTGTTCCTTTTGTTAACAATTCATTCTTTCCTCTGGGCTCGAGATTGAAGATGTCGACCTAGGATTTAGATACGCGTTGGCTTTCATCTGCGAGGACTCATCGGAGGATACATGTAATTTATGTATAAAAAAAAATAAAACAGAAAAAAATATTAAACAAAATTAAGTACAAAAAAAAAATCAAAAAATGTACTCGTATATACATTACAGTATAGAATAAAAGTAAAGCTAGAATAAGTCGTCACACACTCTTAATGCATACAATCTATTAATTAGGTTAAGTCATAATATTATCTATTTTACTAGGGAGGGAAAGCGGAGGGACAGGCGAGTTTGTCTTCGTCTACATATGATTCAACGGTTACATGTAAGTCTACTTCTAAGTCTAGATTTAAATCTATGTCAGCCATAAGATTGTGTAAGTCTAGGTTTAAGTTCACGTCTAAATGTACAGCAAGTCTACTTGAAGATGAATTTGTAGAATCCATCTAAAGTGCGTTAGGTTTTCACAGACAAAAAGCGTTACAATTATTCAGCCTGTTTACTTTCAACCCTAATGACGGTGTCCTCATCTGAAGAGGAAGTATCAGGCTGGAATAGCCCAAAAAGAAAGTGATGGCTTTAAAGATACTGGCGCTCTCATCACAGAAATAATTTTGATCCATAGTGGATGTCTGGTTAGGTTGGGTGAACAGAGTGACGCGTGCACTATCAACATACGTCGGCGGAGTTCCAGTGCGGGACGATAGCTGAAGATAGAACAGATAATTTTTCACAAAGTGGCGAATACATAAAGAATAAACTACATTAGTTTCCAGGAGGAACCATGTAGAGGACGATATGATAGATATATTGCTATCAATGGGGACGATTATACACTCTTCATGCAAACAACGTATTAATTAGGTTAAGATGACTATATTATTCATTTTACATGGGCAGTGGCAGCTGTCGAAGCAGAGGAGCGGGCGAGTTCGTCTACGTCTACATGTGAGTCAACGTTTACATCTAAGTTTTCGTCTAAGTCTAAGTCTAGATCTATGTCAGTCTATGTCTAAGATTGTGTCTAAATTTAGGTGTAAGTTCACTTAGAGATGTGTGTGCAAATCCAAATTAATTTTCAAATAGAAAATAAATTTGGAGAAGCATCCAAAGTGCATTAGGTTTTCACAGACAAACAGCGTGACAATTTTTCAGCCTGTTTACTTTCAACCCATATGAAGTTGTCCTTGTCTGAAGAAGAATAAGTATTAGACTGGAATAGTTTTGAGAGTGCGATAGCTTCAAAGATAATGGAGACCTCATTACAGGAACCATCTAGCTCCATAGTGGGTGTCTAGTTAGGTTGGGTGAATAGAGTGACGCGTGCACTATCAACATACGTCGGCAGAGTTCCAATGCGGGACGATAGCAGAGGATGAAACAAATAAGTTTGCTGATAGTAGCGAATACATAAAGAATAAACTACATTAGTTCCCAGAGGGAACCGTGTAGAGGACGATATGACAGATATATTGCTAGTAAAGGGGATGATAATCTTCATTACTAATAGTCCCTTCTTTCCCATGGGCTCGAAATTAGACATGGTAATCTACGGTTGACGTTCGCGTGAGATTGTTTCTTCAAGAATGCAGGAGAGAACAATTCACTCCCTGCCAAGTGAGATAGAGTGATGTGTGTAACTCCGAGAGAAACCCGCATAGAAGTCGTTCTAACTGGAGTATATTGCTAACAATGGGGCTGCTAGTCTCTATTGCTAACAATTCATTTTATCCCCTATGCTTGTGGTTGAAAATGGCGACCTGATATTGAAGGATGAAACAGATAAGTTTGCTCATAGTGGGGAATACATAAGGAATAAACTATATTAGTTTCCAAGGAGAACTGAGTAAAGGACGTTATGATAGATATATTGCTAGCAATGCGGATGATAATCTCCAATAGTAAATAGTCCCTTCTTTCCCCTGGACTCGGAATTGGACACATGGGAATCTACGGTTGACGTTCGCATCGGTTTGCTTCTTCAGTAACTCAGGAGAGAACAATGCACTCTCTGCCAGGTGAGACAGAGGCTGTGTGGATAGATTCGTGTGATCTAACATGTAAGATCATCAATATTATTATGTGATAAATGAAGACATAATCGAACCTGTTTGAGCAGTGGCAGGCCGCGGAAGCGGCGGTGGACGGGTAGATCTACGTTTGCGTATGCGTATGAGCTTTAAGTCTACGTTTACTATAAGTCTATGTTTACGTCTAAGGCTGCTTGCAATTCGATGGTGTCCGAGTGAAACCGCGTGGAAGATGATGTAACAAAGTATATTGCTAACAATGAGGCCGCTAGTTCCTTTTGTTAACAATTCATTCTTTCCTCTGGGCTCGAGATTGAAGATGTCGACCTAGGATTTAGGTACGCGTTGGCTTTCATCTGCGAGAACTCATCGGAGGATACATGTAATTTATGTATCGAAAAAAATAAAACAGAAAAAAATATTAAACAAAATTAATTACAAAAAAAAAGATAAAATACACGTAC